GTCTGAGTTTTCCTAGGACATTATTTATTGAATCAATATCATAAAACATATCTGTTGTGTGTTTGCCTCCATAAACTTGTAAAACAATAAACCGCTTCAGTGTAGATAACTGAGCATGGCTTTGCAATGACAGCAGCATAAAAGTAAAAGCAATCACTGAGCAGCCTGAGTAATCACAAACACTGATAAATGTTAACGTTTTAAAGCTGTGTCTATAATAGAGTTTTTCCTCTTGAGCCTGATTGCAAGCATGGTACACATAAAGCTGATTATTCCTGTGTACTGTTATTTATGACCGTTTAAAGCTTTGCAGAATGAAACTTGCATAAGAGCCGAGCCTGCTTGGTCTGGAAACAACCAAATTTAAAGTCATGACAAGGGCTGTGGCACGACCAAGACAAGGAAACTGTTTACAACCGAGGCTACTGTCAAAACAAGCAGTACACCGATGTCCCCCTTCACTGAGGGATTTAAATCATGAATGTTTGTAGTTTTTAAGTGTTTTTTCTGGACTGGAATTGAACAGGGAATGAAAACACCTTAATGTTTTTGCTGCAAGTGTGCAGAGTGACAGATCCTGGTGAGTGGAAAGAGCAATTTTATCTACAAACTGGTGCAATGATGGAGCAAGGGGGTGGACAATGGTGGCCATGGCCCCCCATATTCTTCGGACACCCAAATTATTTCAAGAAACTATAGTTTTAAATTATATAAAAAACAGAGCACAAAGTTTCCTCAAATGATTTGTGTGGCCAGGGTGTGTGTGTGTGTGATACTGGAAGGTCGCCCTGGTTCAAATCCTGGTCCAGGGGCATTTCTGAGTGGAGTTTGCATGTTCTCTCCGTGCAAGCATGGGTTTCCTACTGGTACTCCAGTTTCCTCCCACAGACTAAAAACATGCATGTTAGTCTGATTGGTAACTCTAAATTGTCTCTAGATGTGAGTGAGAGAATGAATGTTGTCTCATTTGTCTCTATGTGTACCTGTGATGGACTGGAGACCAGTCCAGGGTGTCCCCTGCCTCTCACACAGTGATAGTTGGACATGAGCACCAATGACCGCCACAACCCAGAAAAAGCAGCAGCGATTAAAGGTAATGGATGAATGTTTTACACTGATATAGAAATGATTATTTTAATGCTTTTATGTCAATCTATACCTATATTACACTTATTTAAACACACTTATACTCACTTTTGATGCAGCTTATCTGCTTATTCAGTCATTCCTGTGCTGCAGATGTGTTTTGGAGTAATTAAAGTTCTCTGGGGATGCTCTAGCCAGAAGATCGGGCCCAATCTTCAGGTTACAGTGACCCAGGTTTTGAAGGACATGTTTTTTATGAAACCATCGCTCTGTTGCACAGACTGCTTTGATGAAGGAAAAACAGATTTAATTAAATCTGCCCTCCTGGCAACCATCAAAACTTGCTTTGATCTGCTCTCACGCGATCAGGGAAAGGTATATAAGAAATGTTTCAAACACAGAGAGTCGGAAGTCTTGGTGTGGATCAGCACGCGCTGGTGCCATGCGCCATTTTGATGTGATTCTTCTTTACCTGGGTCGAAAACGACTTCCCGGCCAGTGTCACGGTGAGAAGTTATTTCATATCAATTTGTGTGTTAAGAGTGTACGAGTGTACATGTTTTTTTGCTTGGCTGTTTTCTGTGGCAGGTTAATAAAGGACACTTATTTATCCTAGCAGTAACAGCCTCTGTGTTTTATTTTTTCCCTCTGGTCTGAATATCTGTGCCGACCGTTCACGAGCCCTTTTGATAAAGAATTTCATAATACATACACCTAATTGCAGCCACACTAAAATAGAAGGCGGTACCTTACTTGTTTTTTGACTTGTGCTCACAACATGTACCCACAGATAGACCGATGGAAGGGGGGGGGGGTATTTCTAATTCCCCCTTACTGCTATGCAATGGGGAACAACAAATTAAGATTTAAAACTAAATCTACTAGTGGCTTAGCAAAACTTAAACTCTCCAGTTAACATGATTTCCCACATATTTGATTGAACAGTCAGCCTCTCGTTCCCAATCTATACAATTTATTCTCATCAGGACTGGTGTAATTATGCAAGCCATCGAAGCACTGCAGCTTGTCACTAAAGCTTTGGCAGCAAAATAACACTTTCTAATTAAAGCTTTCACATGCTTATTTGTACCATTTCATAGTGTGATATACGGCCAGGTTAGCACAGGCCAATAAACCAGCCAGAAACACTAATGGAATTGGATGGAAGGGATTCGAAGGTCTAGAAATAAAAATAAAATCATTTGGTTCCATGTGTGGGTCATTTCAATAGGTACCTCTCTTGGAGATACATAAAAATCTATTAGAGCAAGTAAAAGAAAACTGTAATCACATCCTACCTAGAATCCAAACACTTGTTCCTTGAGAGCAGCCCAAGGTTCTAATGACAAACCCAAGCAGCAAAGCCACAAAACATTAGCCTCCACTCAACTCTGAGTGCTCCTATAGGAAATGAGAGCATATAGAGTTGCAGTTACCACACTATAGAATCCCACAGTCCAAAATGCAATTACAAAGAACCACATGATGGCTGTCTTCACGAACAAAGGAGCTGCTTAAATTACGTGGTGCATTCTTAGTGGACTACGGAGTGAGTTTCAGCCCAAAGTGTGCGGGGTTAAAAGGACTGAATGCAGTTATGGGTTGGAGTGCATACGTCTGAACGCATTTCAAACAAGACCACAAGAGCATCGCAGAGGAAGTGGGTTTAAGGTAGCTGCCTGGTCCGCGTTTCCTGGGGAAGCTTTAAACGTACACAGGAGGGGAAATGAAAAGGGCAAACTTTATCAGAATCTAATTAATACAGAAACTGAAATAAATATGATTCAGAGGCATTACAAACAGGCAGGATGGAGCGGATGGAGAAACGTTTCAGAAGTGATTTGCGACAAAAGGGTGTCAGCAAAGTCCAAAGGAAAAAGTTTACAAGACAGTGGTGAGACCAGCTATGTTGCATGGTCTGGAGACAGAGACATGGACAAAAAGACAGGAGAAAGAACTGGAAGTGGCAGAAATTAAGATGTTCAGGTTCTCCTTAGGAGTGACAAGGATGGAGAAGATTAGGAATGAGATCAGAGGTACAGCACAGGTTGAAGAACTGGTAGATAAAGTTAGAGAGACCAGACTGAGACGGTTTGGACATGTCCAGAGGAGGGGCAGTGGGTTTGGACATGTCCAAAGGAGGGACAGTGGGTTTGGACATGTCCAGAGGAGGGACAGTGGGTTTGGACATGTCCAGAGGAGGGACAGTGGGTTTGGACATGTCCAGAGGAGGGACAGTGGGTTTATTGGTAGAAGGATGTTGGAAATGCAGCTACCAGTAAAAAGACAAAGAGGTAGTTGGAGTGAGGACAGAGGATGCAGAGGACAGAGATGGAGGAGGAGGACTCACTGTTGAGACTCCTGAAGAGGGAAAAGCCGAGAAGAAAAAGGTATGACAAACACAGGATGTGTTCAGGTAGACAAAAATAAAATAAAAAATCATCAAGACATGATGACAGATGTACAACAGATTTTTTTAATCAAGGTGTAGTTTTAACCTAAGAAAAAATACTTAAAATGTATATTAAACAACACTTATAAGAACTTTATAGTATAAAGAGCTTTCTTTCTTAAAAACTCTGTTGTGGTCTACACTGAGCTAGTTGTATCAGCTGCTGCTTCTTTATTCCCATTTGGTAATTGATTACTTCAGCACAATGATGCAGATTTTTCAAAACAGGCAGATTAAAATCAGTTGGCAGATTCATTGGGTTATGTCTTCTATCAATACTTACTTCATTTTACTGTTAAGCGTTTTCTTTCTCCTTTGTCATCATGAGTGTCTAATCTGACATGTCACTGTACAGCAGTACTCAGCCAGTACAGCACTTTTCAGTTTGTGTATTATTTCTTGTCAAAATCCAGGAACTACTCGTATATGTTTTATGAAGAAAAGAAAACAAGAGGTAAACCTCATCGATGAGGGCTTTAAATGGTGAATGTCTGTAGTTTTCAGATGAGTGAAACAGGGAATGCAAGTAAACCTTAATGTTTTTGGTTCAAGATATTCAAGTGGGCAGAAGTTACACTGTGGAGAAGAACAGAGGGAGTTTTTTTTATTTATTTATATTATTATTTGCTTGTCCAAAGCAGCGCAGAGTGACTGATCCTGGAGAGTGGTGTGTGTGTGTGTGTGGGGGGGGGGGGGGGGGCGGCAATGTTATCCACCACCAGGAGCATTGGTTGAACCGGGGGTGGCCAAATCATTTAAGGAAACTATACTTAACTGATAAATAAAAAAAAACTACAAAGCATAGTTGAGAGAAGTGGTCTACATACATTTACTGCGGTGGTGGCCATCTTGGATTTTGACGTAGCAACCCAATGTTTGACAGACCACATCCACCTAGATGTAGCTGCACAGCTAAATGAAAGTTGGTACCTCGCTTATTGTTTAAGTTAACGGGCTCACAAGATGCACGGACGAATGGAACGAAGTATTCAGTATTTCCAGTTCCCTTTCTTTGCTCTGTAACAGGGGACACAAAAACGATGGAGTGGTGGCGCAGAGGTTCGAAAAGGTGGGCCTGTGATCAGAAGGTTGCCGGTTCAACTTCCCGGACTGACATCATCAAAATGTGGGTGGAAAATGTGAAACAACCACACCTGCCTCCACTCTCATTCATCCCTCTCTGGACCCTTGAGCAAGGCACTTAACCCCCACCATCTGCTCAGATATATCTTAAAAAAATAGTCCTCAGGACTCAATGGCACTACCTGTATAAAGGTTAAAAAAAAAAGGAAAAAAGCATTCTGCCCAAGTTGTGGCAGAGTGGACATGACGGCACAACCATAAAATAAATATTTGTACAACACTGAAACTATAGTAATGAATTATTCCATACAGAAACTGTGCACATGGAACAGCATTTAAATCAGTGTTTTCCAGTCATTTAGAATAAAGCTGAGCTCACTGTGTGCGGTGATCCTCCGGTCTGGGGTCTGTAGGACCAGTCCACAGCCATCTTACTGGTCGGCCTACTTGTGGAGGTGAACGTGCATGACAACCTGACGGTTTCCCCTTTCGATGCATGGATCTCTGCTGGAGTGCTCACTTTGATGGAAGAGACTGGAGAAGGAGCTGGAGACAAAAAATAAGAATGAAAGAGTTGGAAAAGATAAAAGGAGGAGTGACAGAAATGTTGAAATGAATGTGTGAAACAGCTCACCAAGGCGTGAGCACTCTTATTTTTAGTTTTACCTGAAACCTAACTATTGAGACTGACTACAAAGAAGTTTAAATCGTGTCATCTGGACAAGTTTCTTTAAGGGTCTTTAAGGTACTGACTTGCATTTTGGTGTGTAGCTGCATCTAGGCATAAAAAAAAAAGAGATCGCTAATAAACTGAATGGAATTAAACAGAAACCTTTGCCTTACAACTCAGCTCCCTCTTCACCACAACAGACTGGTTCATGGTCCATTGGGGTGAAGGTGGTGGACGTGGTGGACTGGACACCCACATAGTTGTCCGTGTCCAATCTGATCTTTCTTACACTTAGACCTGTCGCAATAAACAATAAATCAATTAATCACATGATAAATGAAAATGATCAACCTCATTTTCATTTATCGGCTTCATCGTTTCTTCATCTCTCTCTTTCTACTGAAGACACTGGATGATAAAAAGCTCAACTCCGGTGCTCTTCACTGACACCTCCCTTTCTCTTTAAAATCTGTTTTAAACGTCCAAAATCACGTTTTTGGACCGATAAAAGCAGCTAAGCTGAGAAGCTAAGCTACTAGATAAGCTAACAGGACGACCTCAGGGGAAAAAAAAACGTCTTGTCGAAGCTCCAAAATTCACGGTTGAAACCCGTGCCTTTGTCTGAACAGTTTTTTTTTTCTTTGCAAAAAGAAGCTGAGAACTTGTTTACTGATTTTTTTTATTAAAAGCTTTGTGTGAAAAATGCTATGCTAAAGAGCTCAAACCACACCGAGCATCCGTCATTTAAGAACAGAAAAACAGGAACAAGAGAAACAGCCCATGTCATGTCAAGGGGCCTTCCTCCCATTTTTCTTAAGAGACACGCTGCTCGCTCCCTCACTATCCATCCTTCAGTTTAAACAGTCTTATACTGCCATCCAGTGGTCAAAATAAGGGACTACACACAATTAACCATTTCTTCCTAAATTTAACAATAATTACTAATTATTGTTAAATTTTAAACAATATTATTGTTTATTGCAATAATTTGAGACAATTAATCGCCCAGCAAAATTTGTCATCGTGACAAGCCTATTTACGCCTAGATGCAGCCACACACCAAATGCAAGTCAGTACCTTAAAGACTCGGAAACGAACTTGTCCAGATGACACGATTTAACCTGTTTTGTGATTTAGCCACGTGAATGTTTGAGCTTACAGATTTTTTTTTTGTTTCGTTTTTTTAGACAGACATTTTTTTTTTTCTTAATGCCAGATCGTTGAAATTTTGGAAAATGATTTTGTGGCCTGTCTGTGATGCATTTTCTTATACAAAGTTAACTTAAAGTAGATCCTGCAAGAAAGAGCAGGAATTCCATCATTTTTATCAGGGCTTGTAGAAGATGGCAGGTTTTATAAATTACAAAAGGAGTGAAGTGGGTTAAACATTTCCAGAGGTGAGTGACGTTTTATACCCACTCACTTCAGACACAGAAGTAAACAGAAAGCCTGATAGTGTCTTCACATGTGTGTTTTTTTTTTTTTTTTAAATACAGTGGAGTCATGCAGCGTGTCAGAGCAGCAGAGCCCTGAGTGACACCATAATACAAGTTTCTATGCAGCCTCCACTGTTGCAGCCGACAGACGCGTCATATCTGTCCATCAAAAGGCCTTTAGCTGCAGTCAGCCCTATCCCTTAGGCTTTTATGCAGAATTATGGCCGAGCCTGGTCGAAAAGCACAGTTTTAAATATAAACCTACCCAGACCTGAGGGTTAGTTTAAAATAAATCTCTAAAAACTGGGCACATGAAACAAAAACCAAGTGAGACTTTAAGTTTTTCCCTCATTGTAGAAATTATTCATTTGTCCAAGTATTTACCAGGATGACTCTTAAGTTTATTTGGCTTAAAGTGAATCATCCAGGCAAGATTATTTTGCTTCTACTGGAAGCAACAAAGGTCAAAACATAAGTTAGCCATTAACCTAAAACCAGTGGTGTAGTCTACACGATACATGGGTATATGGAGTATACCCACTAGAAAAGTTTAAGAATTTCAGTATACCCACTTAAAAGTGCCCATTGATACAGAACATATCATTAGGCACGTGTCATTGATACGTTAAACGGCAGTTTAATGCTTCCGTAACAATCTATGTGTATGCAGAGCTTGTTTATTACATTTGCTTATCCATCGAATTATTGTACAATTAATACTTCAGTACTTACTACGTAATACTTGAACAGGTTTTGCTTTGATACCGTTTTATAAATTCTACAACATGTTTTAATACAAAGACAACCGTTGTACAAAGTTTGATGTTCATTTATTCAAATATAAGCATCAGAGAAATTTGGAACTGTTCAATATGCTTAAAAATCAAAATAAATTGATTATATTGTACTAGCTGGTGTACATTGGTTTCTAATACAGTATATGGACCCACCGCGGTGAAGTTAGTTTTACTTTGGACATGGCTTCAACGGTGTCCAACGTAAAACTAACTTTGCCGTGGTACACCCACTACAGAAATGTAGACTGCACCACTAAAACTGTTGTTACAAGTTGGAGATTTTATTTTATTTACTTTGTTTCATTTCAGTTTTTTCCCCACCTTGGCTTTTAGTTTTCTTGGTCGTTTTACAGAACTACTGTAATCACTATTTTAGTTTACAAAATGCATGATTAGATGGCCTGAGTCAAAGTGTTTAGAAAATTAGAAACCATGAATTATTTTAATACGTTTTTAGCCCAATTATAAGTCTTAACTACCCAACTGAATTCAACTGCAATGTTTGTGTACAAACTACAAACATTAAAGTATAATGTAGGACTATCCACCAGGGCCTAACTTCACTGTCAAGTTTGGCTGTAAACATCTTAAGACATTAATTAATGCACCGTTATTTTGGTAAGCAAACTATATTTAACCATTTTAAAAACCTCAAACTGACATTTCTCAAAGGATTAAGAGGGAGTAAAAATAAGACCTGCATAACTCCGATATTATCAATCTTAGAAGAACACGTCTGGTTTCATCAGAGTCCAGCAGACGTAAATCTCATCCCCCCAAAAAGCAGTAGATCTCTCAGGATCAGTGTGCGAGTCATCTATAAAGACGAGAACAAGATGAGCAAATTTATCTCCTTCTGAACGTGAAACTCGAGCAGAGCAGCCTTGAAACGGGAACAACTCTTGAACTGGAAGCTCCATAGATGCTGATAATCTGTGGTAATTAGAGGTATGATGGAGAGCTTGGCAGCTCATCTCACAGACAGCAAGTTTCACAACATTTAGTATTCTCTTAAAGGTCCTCATGAGGTTCTGGCAGGCAAGGCTGTCGAACACTGATGGGGAACATGTTCACATCCTTTAGTTCGAACGCTCAGCTGCACCGTTTTGATTTTTATCCGAGACACTTTTCACTGTAAATATGAAATAACTTGGTGCATAACGTGCCATACAACCATTCATCATGCAGGTAGGATTACCTAAGGAGGACAGCACAGTTATAAATGGCTCCGATGGAGCTCATTTTGTGTTCTACTCCTACAAACCATCACTTTGATTATAAAACTGCAGAATATTAATCTGGTTTCATTTTAAAAAATAACGAGCGCCATGCGTGATCAGCTCTAGAACCAAAACAGTTGCCAATTTTTGTTCATTTTTTTTATTTAATACCAAATATTTTAGACGTACTTGTTGATTAATTTCATTTACAATTAGGAGCCTGCCATTCCTTGAAGGATTGCATATCGCCCGCCACCTTTCTTACAAAATTTTCAAGAAAGATCATCAACATCTTTAGTAGAGCTGAGGTAGCTGGGTGGTCAGTGCTGCGGTCGTGTAATCCTGAGGTTGCAGGTTCAAGCCCAGGTTGCGTCAGGAAGGGCATCAGGCGTGAAACAAATGTTCAAACATGCGAGTTTGCTCGCTGTGGCAACCCCTGACGAAGGAGCAGCTGAAAGAAACTTTACTTTATTATGGTAAAACTTGTGATTGCAAGATGTCCTGCTCGCTGTGACCCATCCTCAGCTACACAAACACATTGAATTTGAGCTCAAAATCTGAACAACTGACAGAGTTGTTAACATTTTTGTGTTGGTTGTGTCATTTAGATGTGGTGGCCATTTTGAATTAGGCTGACTTAAAAAATAAATCACCCGTTGATGCATTTCCATTGACCACTTTCTGCAATAAATCTGAGCAGCGGCTCATGAGGTTTTGCAAACAGACACACAAGCAATAGTTCAATAAATTGTACATGATCTTATCATGACTTGGCATTAATAACAGTCAGATCAGTGCAATTAAATAAAAAGTACCTTTCCTTTTAAGTAGTAAAGAAAGCATACTTTGTTTTACATTTCAGTTTTCATACTTGATGTCCTTACTAAGCCTGTGATAAACAACAATAATAAAGATTAGCAATATATCCTCTATATGCACGGTCAGCTGCTCTGCAGTCAGTGTTTATCATGGAACCTGACAAAAAGAAGAGCTGGCCTCAGGCTCGTCTTCCTGTTTTCACAGCAGCTCCCACAGCAGGCCTGCTGGATATGTAATATGTAAATAACAATAGAAGGCTGCCTACATCTCGTAAATACTGTGCATTACTAAATACAGTAGTGTTTTATCCAAATTTATCTATGTTAAAGTACTTTAAGTCGACCTAAACAAATGGTGCTCGTTTAAACGATTTTTTGTGAACAGGCCCGGGGCGCACCTGAACGTCTCACAGGTGACTGAAAATGGAGCCTTTGATCGTAGCGACGAAAAGTCTCGACACGACCCAACTCGGATTATTATTATTATTATTATTATTATTAAACACACACATGGTTACTGAGACTACCAGAAGCAGATGTGCACCTTCCTTCCTCCAGCTGACATGACGGGACAGTTTACTCACCGTGAAGGCAGCTGAAGCCCAGCAGCAGCACCACGTTCAGAGCCGACGGTCCCGGGACCGCTCGACACATTCTGGGATATGAAGACTGGCACACTGTGGTGACGATGGAAACGATTACAAAAAGCTCAAATTGCATCAAAGCTTCGGTAAAATCCCGTCCATAGTTTAATTTAGCCGTGAGTCAGCTTCTCTGAGCCCGCCCGCACGCGCTCCGGCTACCTGTCCAACAGGTGGAGCAGGAAGTGGAGCCGCAGCTGATCTCATTTAAGACAAATGTTTCTCTGAAGAAAAGCTGCAGCTGCTTTGGGTTCGCCTGTTTATTTCAGAACAAAGAGCTAAATTTATTAAAAGCACTGACGTTAGAGACGATTAGGCAAAAATGGGATTCAATTAAAAGTTTAAATTTAAACCAGTAGTTTCTAATAATAAAAGGAAACCTCTTTTAAAAAAATCATGTTTTAAAGGGATCTTCTGGCCAAGAGCACAAGTTATAAACAAACAATATCTTACCTGTTGTACATGGTTCTTTAATCAACCACACTTTTGAGAACTATAGTTTAAGTCTGACAGAATGGAGCCAGGATAGTTAATTTCAACAATCTTAAAACAACTCTCAATCTCCAAATTCAGTAAAAAATATTAGTATTTTGACCTCAATAAAGTATGTAGCAATACAGAGTTATTTAGAGTGCGCAGGGTGTTTGCACATGCAATATTGGCAGCAGCAGGAAGTTGTAGCACTTAAAGCGTGAAGATGCGTTCTGACCTCTGACCCTTGGGTCATCTACAAGATTCACCATGAACTGTTTTCTTTAGAGATACTTCTGGTTTGAATAATGTCTGATGTTTTCACATATTCCTTTCACACTGTTAGTTACTAGTGTATATCTTAGATCTCTTAGCGTACTGTTGGACGTTCGTATATCTTATCTTAGATCTTAGATCCTTATTTATTATTTCTTTTTACATTTTATATTTTTGCTATTGTTGAATGTAACTGGGATCGTGTGTACACAATTTCGTTCCACCTCATGTACCACATGTGATGTGAATGACAATAAAGAACCTTGAATCCTTGAATTCACTCTCCTTGGACTCAGTCAGCTACAGTCTGACTAATGTTTGCTCTTATCTTCTATGCTTTTAAGAAAGAAAAACAAAATTATTAATGAAGTTTGTTTAATTTGATTATTTGATTATAACAGGTGTGAACATGAATAATGTTGATTATTGTTTGCAGTCATTATAATGGAATCCATCCATCTATCCAGTATCTTTACCCAATTCTTCCTTTTCAGGCCACGGGGGTCACTGGTGCCCATATCCAGCAGTCACTGTGTGAGAGGTGGGGGACACCCTGGACATGTCTCCAGTCCATCACAGGGACACATAGAGACAAATGAGACAACCATTCACTCTCTCATTCACACCTAGGGACAATTTAGAGTTACCAATTAGCCTAACATGCATGTTTTTGGTCTGTGGGAGGAAACCGGAGCACCCGGAGAAAACCCACGCATGCACGGAGAGAACATGCAAACTGCACCCAGAAAGGCCCCCAGCTGGGACTCGATCCAGCGACCTTCTCTCTGTGAGACGACAGCTCTACCAACTGAGTATCATGCCGCTTTAACAAATAAAATAAAATTTTATAGTGGTCTAAAAAAGCCTTTTTGTTTAAATCTTTACAGTTTGGAAAAAAATATATAAAATTAAAAAATGTATTTTTCCAACTTCGACCATCGACTGTTCAAAAGTTATTTACAAGAATATATGATTTTTTTTTTACTTAAAGTTTACACCAAATGCCACATCAAAATGGCCAGAATGTGCCTTTAACACTGATTTGGGTTTTGGATAGGAAATAAAAATATTTTACTACGCTTGCAAAGAATCCACAAGAATTTGGCATGTCAAATTTACAGTGTATATTCAACCTTTATTTCTACAGGTTAGTCTCAATGAGCTGCGAGGACTCGTTTACAAGAGAGCCCTGATTTTAACAAAGTATGTCTTTTACATGACAAAATAACATGCTGTTTGTGAAACCCTTTGTACACGTGGATTTAAAGCAAAACACATGAACTTGATGTGCAGAAAATCATATGATTATGTGAAAAGGTGTCAAATACATTTTTTCCGCCTGTGTGATTTAGGAGCATTTTTGTCCCCCACTGCAGAGAGAAGGGGGGGATTATACCCTCAGTTTGTCCATGTTGTGAGCATAATAACTTTAAAAAATAAATGAGTTGCAGACTTCCTTTTTGGTGTGTGGCTGCATCTAAAAGTAAGTAAGATTGTTAAAATTAGGTCATCACGTCAAAATCCAAAATGACCACCACCTGGTATATGTAAAGCAGCCACCTCCATCATTTGAGGAAACTTCATTCTAGTTTTTATAATGCCTAAAAGTATAGTTTCCTCAAATGAGTGGGGTGGCCAGGATTAATCTTTGCTGGCCAAGGTCACCATTGGCCACCCCCTGGATCCACCATTGCACCTGATGGTGCATGAAACTTCTTCCTCCATTCACCAGGATTCGTCAGTGCTGCCTTGAACAAGAAAAAATAAATAAATAATGATTAAATTGAAAAAAAAACCCACCTCCCTCTGTTCTTGTCCACAGTGTACCTCTGACCCACTTGAATATCTTGCACCAAAAACATTAGGTGCATTCCCTGTTCAGTTCCAGTCCAGAAAAACACTCATCTTGAAAAATACCAACATTCACTATTAAAATCCTTCAGTGACTCGGGACACCGGCCTGTCGATGGTTAACATGGGCTCACATGTGAAAAACATGCTTTCTGTAAGGATTGTGTCCGTTCAGCCACGTTCATCTCATTTGATGGAGGTCCAGTTTTTGCAGCCAGGTTCTGTATCAGACCACGGAGGGCCTTTGGGGACCCTTTAGATTTTCTGGCCAAATTATTCCACTCTCTCTGTCCCCGATCTCTGCCTTTATTGATGTAATTTGGTCTAAGGGGAACTGGTATTTGTTTTTCCAGCCTTTGTTGGTTCATTTCTCTCTGGGGCGTAATGTTTCATCAACCGTATGGTCCTGTAGAGCTCTTTTGAAAGTTTATTTATGTCATCATTCATCCTGAATAGACTGTCCTATTCTTACACCCATCATGTTTTCTCTGAGCAACAATCGCTCATAAAGATAAATAAAAAATATGAGCATTTCTTCTTTAAATTACATAACTAAACATTATGTTACACAAGAAGCTAGAGCAAAAGGATTCAACCATATTGTGAGTTTGGCGTAAAATACCTTTTTAACACTTGCACAGAGGAGGATTTTTGGGTGGGGGTTTCTGACTTGCCCTCGACAAAGATGGCCGCTCTTCTTCCCTTTCTCCGTCCCTGCTTTGCTCTTTGTCTTGTGAACCTTTTCCAGAGCCCCTTTTTGCATACCTTCTGAATTGTAAACTATGGATTTGTTCAGCTGGTCTCTCAACGCAACTGATCAAATTTTCTCACAAGAAGACATGGTGAAGGAGAGCCCTCTTACCTCAGAAACATAGTTGGATTTATGATATCTGCATTCTGCTTTTTAGAGTCAGCGGAAATCTGGAATATCGACAAATTCAGAAGCTGTCTGGAATGCGTGTGCCGGGCTTGGCAGCACTCATTCTGTGTGTGAATTACCTGTGGGCCTGTATCAGAGCTGAGCAGGCAGGACTGTGGAACTTGTGGCAGTGTTCACGGACGGTTGGAAGGAATAGATCTTGGAGAAGTTGTAAGGCTGATTTTGCCGTAAGTAATCACAACTCGGCTGTTTGGAGTCACCATGGGATGGACTAACGAGACTGTAAAAACAGACGTGGAAATTAACGAGCTTAACCTGACCCAAAACAGTGTTGAAATCTGAATCTGGCTCTGGCCTTGGAAGGCATATCTCAATTTCTCCTTGGATGTTATGGAAACAAGACGCTTTGTCCCTGCTCACCCCCCACCCCGAGAACATCTGTGGACCCTATCAGAGTTGTACTGGCTGAGAGACACTTTAACATCTTTTATCAGGACTATGGACTATCTATCGGCCACTATCTGGAAGTGTTCATGGACAATATCACCGTCTTGTCGTCCTCCCCCACCCCTGTAAAATGTATTATGTCTATCCATGTTGCTTTGTGCTGAGGTAGTTTTTTTGCTGCCTTACACTGTGCCCTGTGTCCAAGGACACGGTGTGAGAGATCTTAATTCTTTTCATACCTTCTCTCCTGATGTTTTCTTTCCCTTTTCTTATGTAAGCAATAAGGGCAGCGCTTCATAGAAGCTGCAGCCGTGGTACACTTCTGTCTACCCTTCGGACCGCTGTGCAGAACATAATTTTGTTGTACTTAACTGTGCAATGACAATAAAGTTGATTCTGATTCTCTTTTATCATGAATATTCACACATTTCAGCCTCTTTTTTTATCTGATGCTGGGGAACAGCGCTAACCTTGTCAGGGAGCATGTTTTCCACAAGTCTGAGTCTGTTTTACAATCTGCTTGGGAACAGTTTTGTGCTAACCTGAGTAAGATCTCACACACAGTTACATCATATGATGCATTGTGTGTGTGAACACAAGGACTCTCTGTCTGGTTCCAGGATCAGGGTCTCAGGTTCAGCCACAAAGAGGGCTCTCCTTGCCCGCTGCCTTTCTGGCGTCTCTGAACAACAAGAGACCTCTTCTGTCATCAACACCAAAGGAGACTAATCAACTGCTGGGACCACATGTAACCATTATCCAGCATCCAATCATGAGAAACTTTGTCTTTTCTCGTCTATAAACATGCCGAAAATCTGCTGAACATATTGTTTTAATCTCTCTCTGAGCTACTTCGTGTACTCTGAAAGTTCAGGGAGGTTCACAAACAAGTGCAGGGGCATTGCACAAGAGTTTGGACTCATGAAGCTGATTCTCGTGTTTAAGACCAAAAAATAAATAAAAATAAATGACATGTGTGTGTTTAATTACAGCCCAGACTTGAAGTCACAGGCTAACATGTATGTTTGGAGCAGCCATGGGCTCTCTGTGTGCCATCATGTTGCACCAAGCCCATGATTACGTGTGTGTTTGTGTGTGTGCACATGTGGGTGTGTTAAAGCAATCTAAAGGAATTTGGTATTTCTCAACATGTGCCAGGTACAAAGCACCCTAAGGTGTGGAATGCAGAGAAATGACATGCGAGGCATGAAACAAATATGAAAGTTTGTTTGTATCCCTCTCTTTTTTG